GCAGGACCCTGCAGTGGGGGCGCTCGGGGGGTCTGGGGGCACGCGGGGAGGGCACTGCAGAACCGCGTGGACGTGCGGAGCCGGAATGATAAAAGGAGAGACGGGAAAAGGGAAGGGAGAGGGCGAGGAACGAGGGGAGAAGGAGCCGGGGAAGGGAGAGGGGAGAGGGCAGAGCCACGAGGAGCGGGGCGTCCGGAGCTGTCGGCATCGGGGGGGGGTCCCAACCGGCTCCGGGGGGCACATTCTGCCCGGGGTCCGCAGCCGGGGATCAGAGGAGCCTCCCCCAATTGAGGGAGAATCCCCCCAACCCCCCGTCCCTTCCCTGCTGCCCCGGTGTGAGACCCCAGAGCCCCCCCGATTCTCCCTCCCCTTCCCCCGGGGACCCCCAGCTCTGCTCCCCCCGGTGCCACGTCCACCCTGCCGAGGGTTGGGGTGGCCGAAGCTTTGGGGGGGCTCCGGGGGCACCCAGACCCCTCGGCACCTCCCCCCCAACATCACCAGGAAAACTCCCCGTAATGGGGGGGTCTCGGTGCCCCTGGATGGCCTGAGAGGGGTTGGGGGCTCTGGAAAAGCCCCCTCCCCACCTTAACAACCCACGGGAGGGGCAGAAGCAGGCGGGGGGAGGGTGGGGGATGAATGGGGAAGAGGGCGAAAAATAGAAAATATTGAAGGAAAAAGATAAAAAGGATTTGGTGAGGGGGGTGGGGGGGAGAGGGGAAAGGGAGGAAAAACCTCGGGAGGAGATTTAAGGACCGATAAGTGAACAAAGAGCCGGTATTGAAATAGATCTGAGGCCGCCGGCACCCGGCGCGGGGCTGGGGGGGCTCAAAGGCAGCGGCTGCGGGGGGCCGGGGGCTGCACTGGTGATTTGGGCGGGGTAGAGAGGGGCGACCCCCTCTGCTGAGCCACCGGCCGGGGGGCACCGGGAGCTGGCATGGCCCTGGGGGTCCCGCACAGCGCCTGGCACGTGGAGAGGCTGCTGGCGATGCCACCAAGGCTCGACGCTCGGGGGGCTCGGGCTGAGCCCCCCGCCCCCCGGGCAGAACGAGCCGCCACCCCGGGCCACCACGAGCCCCCCCCCCGGTCCTGCCCCGGTCCCTGGTGCTGTCCTGGGGGTAAAGGGGGTCCCAGCTGAGCCCCCCACCCACGGAGCTGCTGCTGTCCTGGTCTGTGGCAGGGCAGGAGGGTGACAGGGACACCCCCGCCGTGGTGCCAGGCACGGGGGGCGCGGAGTGGGGGACACAGGGGGGGGGCACACACGGGAGGAGAAAGTGGGGGCCCCCCCCGCTCCGTTCCCGGTGGCGGTGTCGCCACCTGGTGGCGGCTCCCGGGACTGCGCCGGTGCCCATTCCCGGTTCACCGTTCCTCGTTCCCCATTCCCCATTCCCATTCCCCTCTCCCCATTCCCATTCCCCACTCCCATTCCCATTCCCCATTCCCCACTCCCATTCCCATTCCCATTCCCCATTCCCCATTCCCATTCCACATTCCCATTCCCATTCCCATTCCCCATTCCCATTCCCATTCCCCATTCCCATTCCCATTCCCATCCCCACTCCCCATTCCCCACTCCCACCCCCCCGCTCCAACCAGCAGCCAGTTCTTCAGTTTTTAAAAATTTTATTTATAACAATATCTGTTTTGTTTAGTTGTAAAGTAATCCAGCAAAAATTATTAAAACATTTCCCCCCAATAAAAGGATGGGGTGTCCCCCCCCCGCCCCCCCACATGCGTTTATTTATTTCTACTATAAAAGCTAGGTCATTTCCAGGGGTTTTTTGTGGGTTTTTTTGTATTTTTTTTTTATTTTTCCTGTTAAAAAATGTGCATGTTGGAGAGTGGGAGAGGGGCAGGTGAGAGGCTGGAGCAGGGTGGGGGGATAAGGGGCTGGAGACCCCCTCCCCAACACCACAGTGGGGCTGGGGGCTTCATCCTGACCCCTGTAACAGTCGGGCAGAGAAGGGGGGGAAAAGGAGGCAGAGAGAGGGAGGGGAATGTTGGGGAGGGAGGGGAAAATGGGAGAGGGGAGGGGAAAATGGGGGGGAACAGGGGAGGGAGGGGAATTTGGGGCTGGGGGCGAGGACTGCAGAAGCTGCAGGAGAAGGGGGAAGCCGGGGAGCAGCAGATTTCGGTGGGGGGAAGGAAACGGGGTCCCTGGGGAGGGGAGCTGCTGCAGTTCAGGGGGGTTTGGAGCATGGGGGACCCCGCTCTGCCTCCCCCCGAGCTGTGCCCCCCACAGCAGCGACCCCAAATGTCCCCTCAGCCCCAGCCCCGGTGTGTTTGCCCCGGTACCGCCTGTCCTGGGGGGGCAGGAGGGGGTGAGAAGGGGCAGGGAAGGGAAAGGAAAAGGATTTTGGAAGTGGGGAGGGGGGGGCGCCCAATGTAAAGAGATTTAAAATAAACCAAAAGCCGGGTCTGGCAATGAAGACGCCGAGGCCTGGGACCGGGGACGGGGGGGAATATACAGGTAATAATACTGCTCACATAGAAAAGTAATAATCCTTCATTTGTACATTTATACAGCGGCTCGTGGCCCCCCCCCCGGCCCCCCCCTCTGCGGCGGGGGGCTGTGCCGGGCCCCTCGCCCCCCGTGCCCCTATGCCAGGGGGTCTGCCAGGTCGTCGTCCCCCCGTGCCAGCAGCTCCCGTTTCTCGTCCGTGCTGGCCAGGGAGTTGCGGCTGTTGTGGGCGCCCATGTACAGCGTGGCATAAACCGGGTTGGTGAAGTTGGTGGGCTGCAGAGAGAGGGGGGAGAGGGTGGGAGGGGGTGAGGACATCCCCCCCCTGCTCAGAACTGATGTCCCCGGGGGTGTTCCCCACCCTGGGGGGACTCGGTGAGAGCCCCCACCAGGTGTGACCTGCTCCAGGGACAGGGGGCAGCCCCGCTGGCCCTGCCTGCAGCCCCCAGCCCCAAAGGCTTTGAGACCCCTCAGAGACCCCCAACCCAAAGGCTTTGAGACCCCTCAGAGACCCCCAACCCAAAGGCTTTGAGACCCCTCAGAGACCCCCAACCCAAAGCCTTTGAGACCCCTCAGAGCCCCCCAGCTTTGAGACCCCTCAGAACCCCAAAGGCTTTGAGACCCCTCAGAGCTCCCCAGCTTTGAGACGCCAAAGAATCCCCCAGCTTCAAAACCTTTGTGACCTCTCAGAGCCCCCCAGCCCAAAAGCTTTGAGACCCCTCAGAGCCCCCCAGCTTCAAAGCCTTTGTGATCCCTCAGAGTCCCCCCAGCCCCAAAACCTTTGTGGACCTTCAGAGTTTCCCCAGCCCCAAAACCTCTGTCACCCCTCGGAGTTCCCCTAGCCCCAAAAAGTTTGCAAACCCTTGAAGCTCACCCAGCCCCAAAGGCTTTGTGATCCCTCAAAACCTTTGCAACCTCTCAGAGCTCCCAGCCCTGAAGCCCTTGAGACCCTCAGAGACCCAAGAGCCCTGAAGCCTCTGAGATCTTCAGAGATCCATCAGCCCCAAAGCCCTGAAGCCTCAGAGACCCTCAGGGACCCATCAGCCCCAAGGGCTGAAGCCTTTCAGACCCTTAGAGATCCATCAACCCCAAAGCCCTGAAGCTGAGACCCTCAGAAACCCAAGAGCCCCAAACCCCTCAAGCTGACACCCTCAGAGACCCAACAGCCCCAAACCCCTCAAGCTGTTCAGACCCTCAGAAACCCAAGAGCCTCAAAGCCCTGAATTCTTTCAGACCCCCAGAGATCCATCAACCCCCAATCCCTGAAGCCTTTGAGACCCTCAGGGACCCATCAGCCCCAAAAACCCTCAGAGCCCCCCAGGGCTGCTGCACACAGAGCCCTGACAGCCCCAGCCATGCGCCCCCCACCCCAGCACGTGTCCCCCTGGGCAGGACCCTGCAGAGCTGCCAGCCCCTCACCTTGTCGGGGTCCAGGGCAAAGTCAGCATCCAGCAGCTCCCCCACGTCGTCATCGGGCTCCCCCTCGTACATTTTGTAGGTGGGGTTCCCAATTTCCACGTTCATGGCACCGTTGGTCATCCGCTGGTGCTGGAAGCCCTTGGCACTGAGGAGGGGAGGCAGGGGGTCAGT